ATTATATCTACTAATTTGGTACTAATACATAATATGATCGCTAATTTTAATTTCCAATAAGCGAATCTAAAGGATCCTTTGAACTGCGAATATTTCTTAATTTGAATTGCCTTTCAACATTAGGTTAAACAACAAGTTTTATACAACAATTTAAATTTAATATAAAAATTTATTTCATTTAAAATTCTTCAAATTGCTTACATTGAACGAAATGAGGATATCACCTCATTTTACTTTTATTACGTAACCTTATGTTACTTGCACTAATTACAGGAGAAAATCGCGTTTTCCTTTATAAAATTTATTTTCTTTACGATACTAAAAAATTTGATAGTGGTCAGTACACAATATATCTCAAAGTGCGATTTCTGGTTCGACTATACTGTCAGAATTTCTGGTTCGACTATACTGTCAGAATTTCCTTTTAACACTTCTTTTAAATTTTTGAGAAGTTAGCAAACTATTAATTAATATGAAAAATAAAGAAAAAATAAATTTTGTTCTTACTTACTTTAAGAAACTATATTTTCTTAGAGATTTCATGAGTAAGTTCCATTAGAAAACAATATTCTGATTTTCTTAAATAGCCTACACTTCTCTGTAAAAAATTTACCACTGCTTTAACAATCAGAAACCCAGTTGGTAACATTATTGATTTCTGCAAAAAGCTTGGTAACTCACTATATTTTCAGATACATATTATGTGAAATTTTAAGTAAAAATTTTCGTTAAAATTACCAAAAATATAAAAATAGCAAGTAATAAACGACCAGTTTCTAAGACCTGAAATATCCAATGTAAAAGTTGATCAATCCTTGATAAATTCAAACATATAATATTGTGATCAAATTTTGTTCATCTGTTCAGCCAAATTTATATTAAATTTAATATTAAATTTAATATTTGCAAATAGCACATACTTTGAAATCCTTCACTTAAAGCTAAAATTTGTTATTTAAACACTTGTTAACTGTGGATATTATTACGTAATAAGGTCATTCGTTTTCGAAAATATATATTTTTGATATTTTTTCACATACATACATACATGTAAATATGTATATAAGATTTAATAACTTTTGGCCTTTTTAAAATTGAATTTCCACATTCTAAATCAACTTAGTTTTTAAAGGTTTCTCTGATAAAAATAAAATAACCATAATTTATAAAGTAATTTACATTATGTATCTATGAACGTGCATGTGTACTTTATGTCAAATGGAAAATTTATACAGTAAATGCTTCATTTCAAGGTTACTATGATAAAATTTTAGCATTCATGTGCTTTTAAAAAAAAATTATTTTAGAAAAATTTTCATTGAAAAAGAAAATCAGAATTACAAAATAAAAAATTATACTTGGTATTAAGATGAAGTACGTGCAGTACTGAACAGAACTCATGTGACATAAAACTGATATAGAATTTTTAATTACAAAACTAGTGGTCAGAATTTTAACTAATAAAATATGAATTATAAAAACAAAATTTTAAAAGTACCGCAAGTCTTTGAAGATAAAACAAGATTTCTTGAGTTTTCACACTAAAGACCACTTCATACATACATACATGATGTATTTGACTTTTCTCATTGAGATTTCAAGAGCAATTTGTAATGTCGGTGAAAAACTCCAAAAATTTCTTAACCTCCATGTTTGAGACACATTTTTTATTGCATCTTTTTTTTAATGCGAATAACCCAATTTCATTCACCATGAGTAACTCAATTCGATTCTCAGCTTTCTTTTTCAATTCATTCAAGCTCAGTTTATTATTAGTTGGTGAAAATTTTTTGTACAGTATCATCGTCAATTTCTTTCAAATGGAGAAATATATTTTTGGTTAAAAATATCTAAATATTTTCACAAGTATAATGTTATATTATTTTCTTGTATATTTTTATACTTATGAGCTATGTATAAATATATATTTATTATACATTTGCAAAGTGGTAGTTTAAGGGGTTCACGTTCATTTAATGTTTATGCAAATGGCTAAAAGAACTGTAAAAAAGCTATATATGAATTTATACATGTATGTGTATTATGTATGTATATGCTAGAAAAATTTCTTAAATATCGTTAATAATAAATGAGAGAAAAGAAAATCGGTCTTCACTTTACATGTTAAATGTACATATATGGTAATAATCTGTGTACAGACATACATACATACATATATACTATAAAATACTGTCTTATGCGTACATCCATAATATGTACATTATATATGTGTATACATGTAATTATACTTAGTACTCATATAACATTATGGGCCTATTTATGCGAATTCACATCTTGAATAGGTTTTGTAATGTTTATAAAAAAAAAATCATACGTACTTGTGGTAAAAATTTCTAAAAGAAAAAAAAATATTTGGTTTTCTATTCATTTCCTTTTGGTTACCCTCAAAATGCCAATTCAAAGAAGAAAAGAAATTTTTTGGTTATTTGAATTTTTTTGTTTTAATGTACTAAAAAGAAAAATCTACATTTTCCTTTTTCTTCGTTTGTGTAGGTATGTAGGTGTAGACCCTGGAGTTGAATCAGTTTAAAATATTTTTCAAGCATTTTGTAATCTTTTTTTTGTTTTTTGTAATTTATGCAAATTTTCATGAACTCTATTAAAAATTGTATGGTAATACATTTTCATTTATTTTAATTTTAAAAATTCTTCCTAGAGGATTTTTATAATATCCTTATTTCCATTTTAAAAATTTATTTAAATTTTGGAAAAAACATACGTTTCCCTACAAAAATAAAAGGCAAAAAAAAAACCAAAGTGATGAAACAAATTGAATATTTTTCATTCTGATTGTAAATTTTTTTGAATTTAGTTGAAATTTTTTAGGCCTATAAAATCATAATCTTTTGATAAGCTTTTAATTAAACTTGAAGAATTAAATTCCAGTATTGATTTAAATTACAATTAATAATAATTTAAAAAGATTTCAAATCAAATTAAATACTCAAAACTCCTGAAATAAGAGATAATATTTTTGTTAATAAGTTGCTATAGTTTTTAAAAAAGCATTTTTGTGTTAGAATGATAACTAGAACAGACAAAATGTAAAAAGGTTTATTTCTTTTTAATTATTTTAGTATTACGTCGAAGTAATGAAAGTTACCTAATGAAATACAGTAGATTCCCAATTTTTATATATATGCATAAATTATGAACTATCAGTTATCTATACCAAAACTTCTTTGTCTACTATATATACTGCATAAACTAATGACAACTTATATGAACACAAATTTTGACATGAAAAATAAAAACATGTAATACCAAAATACGAAAATAAAATATTTATATTGTAATGACTACAAATATAATATTATTTAAAACACAACCAAATTAACATTCCAAATCTTCTTTAACCAGTTTAGCATCTTTTTTTACATAATAACATTTCGGTTTTGCTTACTGAACCCCTTCTTCCATTAATTAGTTCGTACTAGTGCGCGTTTACTGTAATTTAATTTTGTTTTTATACTCTGCACCTTCGAGAAGGGTATATTAACTTTGGTACGGAATTTGTAATCACATGACGGAGTTGTCTACGATATGAAAATGTATATTATATATTCTTGCTCAGTGTAAGATTAATTTAGACATGTCCGTCTGTTCGATCGCACGATAACTCAAAAACAAATAAAGCAAGCACCATCAAACTTTCACAAACAAATCCTTTGCTGCCAAGGACGGGTCCTATTATATGTTAATTGGATCGACTTAACCAAAGGGTTTGGGTAGCTGCGAACAACTCAAGGAAATGTTTAAATATTTCAAAAACTAATATATGTATATAGATATTTACATGAAATTCAGCAAACAATTACATTTTAGATACATTCCGAAATGTATTATAAAATAAAATGGCTGCATTTAGCGTTCCCACTTGGATACAATTGTATCCATTTGGATGCATTTTTGCTTTAAATTTGTGTTGTGATACAAAGATACTCAAATCTGCTAATATGCCGAAATTGGCTACATATTAAAATTTTTTTGAAATATGGATACATTTTTTTTTTTAAACACTAAATAAATATTACAAAACAGTTAAAATGCTGCTAATATTAAATCGCGAAGTTGCTTTATCTTCAATAAATGTTATTTGCTGGCTTTTCTAAGCAGTTTTCCAAATTTTTTAGAAGAAAGTGAAAAAGATACTTTATTAACTGCCTCTTCCTGTATTCAAATCTAGAACATTTATACAAGACCGTACCGGAATTATTTTAGTATAACCTAGGTGTAATAGAAAATGCATTGGCTGTACATACTTGAGTATTTTTTGAAATTTGTCCGTTTTCATGGTGAATTGTCTTTACCGCATAGTTCAATAACTACATAACATATATATGTATATGTTTTTCTTACTTTAATTTTTACATTTAAAATGTAATAAAAGTTGTATGTGCTTTCTCAAAGAATTTACTATAAACAACAAAACTCATATTGTGGAATAAAGCAAATTAATAATAATTATGGGAATTTGCACAAAATAAGACGACTTAGTATAATAATGCTATTTTAAGAGGTTGGATACATTTTGGATACATTTCTTTCTCGAAATTGGAATTAGATTTTGTTTTTATCGAGTGGAAACACTGGCTGCATTGATTAAGGTTGCTACTATATACAACTCCAAAAGCTAATTTTGTATACTCGGAAAAATAATAGTACACATTTCAAAAACAAAGCTTAAGTTATGAAGGTACAGGGTATAATTCGGTATCGACTGATACTCATGCGAAATGTTAGAGAAATAATTTTCGAAAAATTAGTTAAAAATACGAGGACATTTTTTTTTCAAAATTTTTTAATTCAAATTGTCACACTCGCTCAGGCGAAGCAACTATAATCATTCATACTGTTATCGTATGAAAATAATATAATTTGTAATAGAATAATTTGAAAGATTTTCTAAATAAATTTTTTTACTAAGTAGGCCACACAAAGCAATCAATTTTAATAATTAAAATTTTTTTTTTTTTATTTCTCATTTCAGATATTAAATTTAAAATTAAATTTTTCAACAATAATTAAATAAAGAATAACAAATTAAAAACAAAACGGAACAATGAAAACATCGTGACTATACGCCGCCATATTATAAAAAAACAAATTAATTGTTTTTTTATTTACAAAAAAAAAAATCAAATTTAGCAAACTAATTTTGAAGGCCTATATACTAATTATTAAAAACTTTTGGTTTTTTACATTATTATTTTGGCTTCATGGGCCAATATAGGAAACAACATATTCAAATCAACAACAACAACTGCTACTTGCTCCAATACAATAATTATTATGCAAGCGGAAATTTTAAGAAACAAATTAAAAGATAGCAAATTACATCATAAAGTAGTTAAGAAAAAAAATTAAATTCACGAAATTTAAAAATAAAAAAAAAAAAGTTACAAAAATTTAAGAAATCATAAAAGTATAAGCAACTACAAACACCTATTTGAAATAAATCAATTTTACATCGAATTAATTTTAGAAATCACAAAATAAAAAAGAAAACGAAAATAATTAAGGCAAAAAGAAAGAGAGGAGATTGTATGCAGAAAATTCACCAAGACCTTTTAGAAAAAGTTTTGAAACAATTTTTTGGATAAAACCCGAAACCGAATACAAATTAAATAACAAATTGAAAGCTGAAACGTTAACAAAGTGGCACGAAAACTTTCAACAGTTTGAAGGACTTTATAAATGGTCAGAGGAATATGAGATGAAGTGGTTTCAAGTGGTAATAGATATGATCCTCGTGCTATCATTTATAACGAGTGAGTAGACTTATAAACATTATTCTTTTTTATTAAATACTTTAAGTTTTCATAATCTAGAAATTAAGATAAAAATAAAAATTTTAGATTCCAAAGTTTTCTGAAAAATAATGTTCCAAGAAAATTTTTATATTCATATGCACATATGTATGTATGTATGTTTCGTTTCTTTCAATGAGATTGCTTGTTATAAGCGACCGAAAAATATTGTGTTGAGAAAATTTTTGATTGTGTCATTTCACAAAGATAACTAATTATCATTTAAGTAGATGGGCTTACATTGGATAATAAACTACTTGTTTTGTTTTTGCATTCAGTGTAATCTAATGCATCAGAGTCTGAAGATGTGAGTAGATATATCTACAGACAAATAACGCACTATTACTATAATTTCCAAATAAAAAATTTACTTGTTTCAATATTTTGCTAGTAAAATTCCTCGCCTTGTAGTTAATCGAAAAAATTAAAATAAAAATTATAAGAAATTCACCCGCTCATTACAAACCTAACTAGAATGTGGTACATGTAAACGCTAACAGTACCTTAATATATTCAATCAGTGACCCTTCTAATCAATTCTATCATCTAAAATAATTACTTTTAACTTCAGATACAAAAATATAACTTTAGAATTTTCTTGCTGGATATCAATATTTTTTGAATGCTGAAGGATTATTGCCTTGCAGAGAATTTCGTTGATTACCCTTCGCCTTATTTATATTTCTACGTAATATGAATGCATTTTAGACATCGATTAGGGCGACGAACAAGTTAGTACCGGTCCTGTATGTGTATTAACATCCTAGAAATATCCTAAAAAAAGTTTGGCAAAAAATATGATAAAACAGTTTGTAATGAAAGTTTCGCAATTTATATAAAGCTATTACAGCCATAATGCCATTAATAATATATATACATAATATAAAAGTACTTGACCTTGAACTAAGCATGTAATATGTATGAGTATTTGAATTGGTTTCTAAAGAAATAATAAGAACTCAATGAAAATAAACATTTTTGTTTGGTCTGTTGGTCAAAACATGCACACAAAGGTAAAGTATACTTGACACCAAATTGCTTTTTTTTCTCTGAGAATCAAAAAGTAAATTAATATTCCTTAAAAAAGAAAAAGTAATTAAAAATATATATAAAATGTATGTGCATATTTGGTTACCTAAAGGCAATTTGTCAGGTCATTTATGTTTACGTGCATTTGTATCATATGTATTTGCTCTCTAGATAAAACTAAAAATAATATATAAAAACAATACTTTGTATTTAACGTAAAATGTTTCGAAAAGAAAAAATAAAAGTTACCTACAATTGAATTTGAGAAATGGTCTTTTACACCCACAAAGACCATACAACGCGGTCATATAAAAGTGTTAGTAAATATTGTAATAGAAAGAATTCTTTAAAAGCCCTTTAAAATGTAGTCAAGTACTTTTTTATTTCATATTATATGTGAATTTTTACCGACCGTATTGTGTAACAATAGGTAGGTTATGTGACGGCAACAAATTTTGCATATCGAGTTTTCGGTGGGAACGTACTTCTCCATAGTAGGGTAAATACACTATTTTTAGCAACCTGTCGGTCTGTCGGATTGTCGGTCTGTCGGTCTGTGTGTGCACGCGTGTATCTCAAGATCGGCTGAACCGATTTTGATGAAATTTTATATGTAAATTTATTTCCACTACTTAAATTACTTATGTAATATTATGTTGTAATATTGCCAAATTATAGTAAAATTTTCGAAATTAAAGCCTTTTATTGTTAAAAAACAAAATGTATATAGTTCTTTTATTGAACTAAGTGAAAGATACTATTCTGTTTTTTTTAATTTACATTCTTATTTACAATTAAAAAAATGTAGAAAGGTCCTTAATAGTTCTGCAACATAATGGAATTAAATATTCTGTTTAACACTTATAAAAAATGCAAGGATATAGCTGAATCTAGATAACTTAGGGAATATTTTAATAGAAAAATATTTAGTATGATTGAGTACCTTTTATGAAGGACATTTTTCCGGTTTTCAAGAAGTTAGCTACAAAAATAATATAACAAGAAATTAGAAGTTAGCTACAAAAATATAAGTTAGCGAAGTTTTAAAAAAAAAACTTCAGCGTGAAAATTTAAGATTTCTAATGAAATGAGTTATTTTAATTATAAACATAATGACAGCACATGTTCTTGCCCTTGCAAAGTGGAACAAGTATCATTACTTCGGCATAATCAATAAATACTTAGAATCTCTTTAAGTTTCGAAAATTTAGATATTTATTTATTTGCATATTCTTTTAAACAAAAAGTAAGGAAATTTTTAAAAGAAACATCATAGATAAAATCATAGACAAATGAGATAATTTGAATAGTTTCTCATTTTTATAACAAATTGTAAACTTCGCTAAAAGCAAAAAATTAAATTTTGAATGGGCAATGCCCATGAATAGTTTTCTATATATATACATTTTTACTATTTTAAACAAATCTTCCACAATCCAGTAAGTTTTACTTCAATATCTCACTAAATTTCAATAAAGTTTTAATAGAATTTCCAATAAAGTAAATAATCTCTTCAACACAATATTATATTTGGTGTACAACGTTAAAACTGCACTTTTATATAGGGAAAACAAAGTTCTTCAAAGCATTGCACAAAAGAAAATTTTGTTTCTTGTTGCAATTTAACAACAACATTGGTACTAAACACTTTGAGATTGCAAGAACAAAAATCTTTATGATAAAGAAAAGTTTACTTTTCAAAGTCAATTTAAAAATTTTTTTTTTTGTTTACTCTACTTAAAATTTAAAATTGAAAAACTCAAATGAAAGCCATTTGACAGAAGTCTTTGTTAAAATTTTTATTTTAACTTTAGATTGAAAAAAATTCTTGGAAAGAGAGTGTTGTGGATAAAGAAAGGTCGGTGCAATTTTAAAATCCACAGGGAAATTTTAGTTTTAAAGTAACTTTCAATATTAACACTAGATACTCTGTTTAATTTGGCTGATTTTTTTAAGTTATAGAATCGTTCGTTTTAGATAATAAATGTCATTACTTTGTTTAATTCGAAAAATTTGAGCAAGTCAAATGTTGAAGTCATTATATCCCAAATAAATTTGAGATAAAAAATTTTCAAATAATGAAATGCGAAAATGTTAAGTAAATCAAATTCAAATTGCACATACATTCAAGTTAAATAAAGTTGAAACAAACGAATTTACTTCCATTCATTTACCAAAAAATTTCAAAGATTGCATACATATAGGATGAAGCAAAAGAAAATTTAAAGAGACATTAATATAATTGTAAATTTAAGGATTAGTTGCGGCATTAGAAGAAAAATTTTTTCTTACCTTATTCATTTTCTCTTTAGTAATTTTTAAAAATTGTAGAAGTTAATTTCGAAATTTACCTGGAAAATACAACATTTGATGTTAAAGAATTACTTTTATAAAGAAATTTTAAAAATAACCAAAAATAAGCAGTATAGGGCACAGATTTGTTCAATTATGAAAAGAATATGAAATGAATATGCATATATGTTGAAACATGTTCAAAATTTTATATTAAGCTCAATAAATATTCTTAGTCTATATTTTGCACTCAATTTTTTATATGCAAGTATTGTTTTAAACTTTGCATCCCGAATTTATGATATGGAACAAAAACATAATATTAAGAATGCTTTCTCATTTAAAAACAAATCCAATGCATCGCTAAAAAAACACAGCTATGCTATGCAGTTGATCTAGACGCAGATAATAGCTAATATTTTCTTTAATAACAATAAAAAATATTAGCGATAACAAATACATTCACAGTATATTCAAAAATTTTCAACTAATAATAAACAAAATATAAATTTTATACAAAAAATCTCTTTAAATGAATCCTGTACTACCGCGAAAAAATTTTCATATTCTTTATACCCATTACATGTGCACCTTAATTCAACTTAATCGGTCATATGCTCATCGGCATAACATTAATTACACAATATTGAGTTCAAAATCCTTTTAAAATGCTTTTCTATTCTTATATGAAATTCTAAAAGTCCACAAAACTTAAAATGTGATGAAAAAATCTTTAAAACTAAAAAAACCGTGAAGAATTTTTATTATTAAAAAGCGAAAACAACAACAACAACAAAATAATAATTTCTTTATAAAGCGTTAGGTCGATTTTAGGTTGCGCTCTTAATTAATTAAATATGTCAAAAAAAAAAGAAAAATTTTTTTATTTTCCTTAAACAATAAAAGAAAAAAATAAAATCCAACTACAAAAGCACAACCATTTCATGCATGTACAAAACAACAATTGAGAAAAAATAAACAGAAGCATAAAAAAAAATTATTTCATGATATGTCAAAAATATCCTTACAAGAAAAAATAAAAAAGGGGGAAAAAAATTGTGTAACAAGAAAAATGCTTCAGTCGCATAACAATAACTTTACTTCAAATTAAGTTCTTTAGTGAACGAAATAGTTACTTTTTTTACCCCTTTTCTGTTTTATTTTTTAATTTTTTCTACTTTATTCTTTTGCCTTCTATATGAGGATTCCAAACCATCTATTACTGAAAAGGACTCTTTTTCTTTTTTTGTTCTTTGTAAACTTTCATCTTATTTTTATTGCTTGTTATTATACTTTTAAGACTCTCCATTTCTTTTTCTTTTCAAATACAATATAGGTGCCCACTTATATAAGAGTTCCTTATTGAAATGAAAAAAAGAACTCATGAGAAATATAATGAACGGTTTGGAATTACAATTCTGGGATATTTTTCTAAAAAATTTTTAACAATTAATTTTATTAAAGATGTTTGCTAAACATTTATTAATAAAATAGAAATAGTTGCGACATGTTGTCTGTAGGGCATTTTAAATAATTTTTTCTGGTCTGCTACCTATGGTCTCATTCTGAATTACCTATTTCTTATTACTTTTAGGATAATCAATGTGATATTCAAGAATTATTGAATTAGAAATTTGTTA